CCATCCACCGATATGTTCCGGTTTCTGCAGTCATCATTTCGGTTAATGTTTCTTCTCTGGCCAAACCAAAATCAGCAAGTTTTACCATTTTGTGGTCGGCTGTTAACAGCAGGTTTTCTGAAAATAACAAGAAATGAAAATTTTATGACATTTGCATTAGTTTTTATATAGGAACAAGTGAAGTGAAATGGAAACTTACCTGGTTTTAAGTCGCGATGAATGATCCCATGTGAGTGTAAGCACTCCATTGCACGAGCTATATCAAGTGCAAAACCTATAGCAACTTTTCTATCCAATCCCTTTGGTCGCATATTCACCATGTATTTCCTTAATGTTCCACCACTAAGAAGCTCAGTTACTACCACCATCACTGGTTCTTTACATGCTCCGATAAACTGTGATTACAAAAAAAAAAATGGACATTTATATAGGATTTTGATATTCAATATGCATTATAGAGCATACTACCTTCACTAAGTTCTTGTGTTGCACTTTAGATAACATTGCAACTTCTCTCACAAATCGGCCTTGGATTTTTGCAATGCTGTCAGGTGTATCGCCTTTGTTTACAATTTTTATTGCAACATTCATGTTTTTATACCTGGTAAAATGCACAAAATCAATAACAACAAAGTCAGATGCCTCGAACTGAAGGACATGATATGCATCTTCTTAATTGATTGCAAGCTAACTGTGGTTTCTTCAATGAAAAGAAAATGAAGATGAAGTCGACTTACTTGCCCTCATAGACTTTGGCATGTGCACCTTCACCGATCTTTGGACCGACAAAAAGAAGTTTCGGATCAATTAACCACTTTGCTTCCAAATGAAACTCCTCATTAGTCGAGTAAAATCCGTTTCCAGATCCCATTGTATCTCCGAATTCTCGTACAGGATTAAACACAAAAAATATTTTCAAGACTGCATTTTGAAGTTAGACCCGCAAAAAAGGGATCAACTGCAACTATCGAAGTCTAGTGGAAAGATGATTGAGCTTCAATGTAGGAGTCATACACAAGCCTAAGATCATATGCGAAACTAGGGAATCTAAATGAGATTGTAAGAAATTAAAAAAAGCAAACACCAGAGACCTGATGCAGAGCTTTGTTCCGAGAATCAGAGTATATTAATGGCGACTTGAAGAGGTGAAAAGAGATTAAATGAAAGAAGAAGGCAGATGGGTGGTTGAAGTTAAGGGAGTATACTGAAGGTTTTAGGCATTATTTGGGGGTGATCGGCAGAGATAGAGGAAGGGAATTGGGAGTTTTTGTCAGACAAAATAGTTTGAATTATTTGAAGTCATTAAAAAAAATTAGGTGAGAAAAGGGCAAAAGCGATGGCGTAAACTGGGAAATTCTAGGCTATGTGACACGTGGTTCAAGATTTAATATACGTCGTCCCTTATATTGATTGATATTTTGACGTCTATATATTTATGTGTGTCTACAAAATTTTATTTTTATGAGATACTTATGAAAATATCTTTATTATTATTAAGTATTGAAACAAATTTATTTCATTTACTATTTATTAAAATCACCATCAACTCTGAACTATGGTGGTTCTGGATTACAGATTACGTGCCTTCTTCTCACACCTCTCTTTCTTTTTCCTTTGTCAAGTGACATCTTGGTTTTGCTTCCAACTATTTTTCTTTCGTTTGCATCAAGCATTTACAAAAAATGTTAGCCTCTTAATTACTATGCTTTTTCAACTACATGACATTTTTATTCCATATGTTTGGAATTTGGTAGGAGGGTGAGTAATTGATGGTTGAATTCTATAATTTTTATTTGTATAAAAGTGTTTGACACAAATAATAAAAGATTTTAAAATATATAAAATTATATAAAATGAAATATAAATATAAACTAATAAACTAAAATAGAAATAAAAGGAAATATAAATATAAACTAATAAACTAAAATAGAAATATAATGATGATAAATTAAATTTTCTAAACTACAATTATTAAAAATACAAGTCATCCAAATTTTAATACCAAGTATACCGATTAAGCTTATCAGTTGGTAAAAATGTTTTTTTATTGTATTAATAAATGATGATTTTTTAAAAATAAAGTAAATAAAACTTTTCAAAGTTAGTTGTCCGCTGAAAAACTAACTGATAGCTAAAAAACTAGTTGTCAGTTGCAAGTTTATAACCTAGCAGATTAAAAAAATAGTGTTTTGTAAAAATTAGCAGATAAGCTAACTGGAATATATAAAATAACATAAAAATACATTTAGAGAAAATATATTTTTTATAATTAATTAGTGGTATATTTGAAAAAAAAAAAATCATAAAAAACTAGTCTAAACATGTGTTTGGCATGCTACAGTTCGATTATTTTTTAAGCTTTTATGTGTTGTCTTGTTCGACAAACAAAACAATTGCTTATAAGTTATCTTTTTAAAAAACTATTAATACTAGCTTTTCATGAGTTTTATTTTTAAACTTTTGAAATATACCATTAATTAAATATAGTAAATATATTGTTTTATCAATTACCTTATAATCCAGCAGTTAACATTTCGGTTAACAATTAGTTTTTCAGTTATCAACATGTTTTTTTTAGCTAACTGTTTGCTTAAAAGCTAGTATACCAAACATCGTCTAAGTAATTTTGCTATTTTTTGGCTTACCAACTAGGGATGTACAAAAAAAACTGAAACCAAAACAAAATACAAAAAATCAAAATCGAAAAAACCAAACCATTTGAAAAATTGATGGTTTGGTTTTTGTTTATAGAAAAAAACCAACTTTTTTTAGTTCGCTTTGGTTTCTCTGTATCTAGAAGAAAAAAACTAAACCAAACCGAAACACACAAAATGATGTTGTTCTAAATATAAATATCACACCATTTGTAAAGTAATTCATAGACTAATAAAAATTAATATTCAATGGTGTAGGTGAAACGTGTATAGGACCAAGTTTCATCACTTTGTTAACATTTCGCCACTTAGAATAAATTTGTTTTTTTTTTCGGTAATCACCAAGTTTCATCTCGTTGAGAAAATGTTGAATGATTTTTCGAAAGAAAGTTGAACAATCTTTGTTGTTTCCGACCACCGGATCTTCAGAAACATCCACCCTAGCACGAGCTAACACCTTTTATTCGGCGGATGTCCATTGCTTTGGAGGCGACCTTCCACTTTTTTTTTTTTTTTGGTGGTAGATTCTCTTCCGGCTCGGATTTCGTTTCCGGGACAACTTTGGGTTCCACTTGAGTTTGAAATTCGGTTTGGTGGTTGATTGGGGAGTCGGGAAGATGATCAAATGGATTAAACTCATGTATCATTTGGGATGATGAGTTCATTTGTGGTTGGTTTTGAAACTGAAGTTGTCTTTGAAATTATGATTAGTTTTGGAATTGATATTGGTTTTGTTATTGTGCTTGATTTTGGTATGACAGATAAAACCAGTAATAAGTACTAAAATAAAAAGAAACAAAAGAATAAGATAAAATCATGTGTACTGGTGGTTGATTGGGGAGTCGGGAAGATCATTAAATGGATTGAACTCATGTATCATTTGGGATGAGAAGTTCATTTGTGGTTGGTTTTGAAACTGGAGTTGTCTTTGCAATTATGGTTAGTTTTGGAATTGAGGTTGGTTTTGTTATTGTGCTTGATTTTGGTATGACAGATAAAACCAGTAATAAATACTAAAATAAAAAGAAACAAAATAATAAGATAAAATTATGTGTACAATTTGAGGTTCTTCATGAGCACAGGTAGGCTTCATTTAAGCAAGCAATATATTGCAGGTTAACCGACTGAAGGTTCCTTCTTCAAGCACCTACACATAATCCTATTTTTTCTTGTAATTTAGATAATAATTTTAAAATCCATATCCATTATCATTTAATTAAAGTTATTAAGCTTTAACACCATAAAATAAAATATAAAAGACTATATCTTCGAAGAAAGAAACTAAATAAAAAAAGCAACGGTTAAATGGGAGATAATTTTTTTAAAGTTTCTTAAAATTATAGCTTCGTTAACGATACAATTGATAATTATATGTCCTGTGAATCAGAGTCCGAACATCTATATATACTTATAAATTAAGTATTTTCTATTTCATCACATTAATTTGAAACTCTCATGTATTTTTTATTTCACCATATCAATTTGAAAATCTTATTTTTCAATTTCTTTCTAATAATACTTATAAGTTGGTTAATAAGGTTAAATAAATATCAAACATAAAGTATAATCATATATAAACTAAATTTCAATATTAAAATAATATATTTACTTATACTTATAAAATTATATTTTTTAACTTTTAACATATTATATTTAATTTATTAGTTTTAATATATTGTTGGATATAAATCATTATTATTTTAAAGATATAATTTTGGAACAATTTGTTTAAAATACTTAAATTATTAATTTTTATATAGCATTATAGAGTCAACTTAAATATAAAATGTAGTTTAACTTAAACAAACAAAAAAAATATTTTATAATAGTTTAAAATAATAAATTATAGTGTCTTTCTAATGATAATTATAAATTGGTTAATTAGGTTAAATAATTTAAATACGTGACACAATAACCGCAATAATCACATCAACTTATTTTCTTAAAAGTGGGGATACCATATTGAAATCATCTACAAATTGATAAAATACGTGACACAATAACTGCAATAATCACATCAAATTTCTAAAAAAACATAACATCACATTAACTTTTAGGGATAAAGAATGTGTATGCCTGAATATTAGGGATAAAGAATTTGATTTCAAATACATAATGTGTTGATATTTCAATTGGAGGTGGGCATACGTAACGTGAATAAAACCTTGAATGGTAAAGCAAAAGGTTTTTTGCAATGTTTTTGCCATGGTAACTTCTCCTCCAATAGCTTTATATGCACAAGAGATTGTTTGTCTTGACTAGGGTTTAGTAGAAAGAGAAACACAAAGAAGAAATTAGGCTTATTCCTCATTTTGTCCTTGGTGTTCGGAAAAATCAACGACCTTATCAAAATAGATTGACAAAACAGAGGCCAAAATGATAGCGTTTTATGTCAAAGAAATTCAAACCAAAGCCAGATATAGCTGGTTCTGTCTTCAATTCACTGCTTCCACCACATACCTCACCATTCTTCTCTTTCTTTTGACTTCCTCGATGCAGCCCAAACCTTTATTCATAAACAAAACTAAACTTACAAAAACTCAATACAAAACATGACAAACCATAACATGGATGAAAGTGGGTCCAAACCCGGATCGGATGAATCCGGATCCGGAAAACCCGGAACCGGTTAATGGGATTTTGAAGAACCGAAAACCGGACCGGTATGTAGGAACCGGTTCCGGGTAAAGTAGGTCTAGAACCGGAAAACCCGGAAACATCAAAGTGGGATATCAAAACTGAAAAATTAGAGAGAGGGCGAAATAAAAACAAAGAACAAAAAGAAGAGGTTCCGGTATTGGAAAATAGAATTTGTGTTGTTTAAAACTGATTGAGGCGGTGGAACATGAGTCTCCATCTGATTGGAAGCGACCGGTGGTGCACATTAACAGGTGTCAGGTGGTGGATGCAAGTGTGGAGAAGAATCCCGGTATCGAATGACCTACGCGTGTGAGGACAGATGACCGGGAATCCGGAACTGTTCCTAAACGTGACGTCCCTTAAATATGTATATTAACATAACAGTTTAATCATCATCAATGCAATAACCAATCAATTTAACAAAATTTGAATAAATGAGACATCTGGAGCTCGCCGTTATATTTTCCTGTTTCAATTGTTGCTTTACTTTTTGCTGTCACAAAAATAAAGGAAGTACTAATTCTCAAACATTCTAAGTGAAGGGATTAGCTGAAATATACCGCAATAAAATGTTTGTAATAATCTTATGAAACCATGGGTTGACTTTAGCCCGTAAAACACTGGTTAGCATCCTTTAATTAATCAATGCTTTTGTAATTTGAAAGTTCCAATTTTACAGTCAATATTAGTGTAACGCTAGTTGAAAACAGTAAAAATCAAAATTGGTTGCTCAAATTGATAAAGTGCGTTTGTGATTTCCTTTCATATCGTATCTATCATTTGCTCCACCGATCATAAAGCTTTCAATTTTAGATCTTCAAGATCAAAGTTCCAAACAAGAACTTACTCTCTTTATCATCAAATTGAAGGGAAAAAACATTTAGACAAACACCACAATACATTTGAAAAAAGAAAACAGCTTACACAATGACACAAAAACAACCTCGTATCTTATCCCTATACGCCTCACAAAACAGATAAAAACGTGTTCATCCTCTTGCATAGAAAACAACAGTTTATGAAAGTAGTTATATTATAAGTTATAAGTTATAACCTTCTTCCCTCATCATCACTTCCAATGACCTAAGCAACCCACGAATAGTCTCCCCCAGAGGATGAAATCTATCATCCACAGTAAACCTGTGAACCTCACTCTTTACCTCAATTGCACTTTCACCATTTACCTTAGTCAAGTTATTTCTTTTAATCATTGATCTAAGTTTCAATACATTATCCCAATCCTTATTCACAGCATGCATATTTGATAACAGAATCAAGTACCCCACATGACTCGAATCATAACCAAACAATTTACTTGCTGCAATCATTCCCAATTTTGTGTTATGATGAATCCTACATGCACCAATCAAAGCACCCCATACCTGAGGCCCAACTGCTACTTGCATATCATTAATAACTTCAATTGCCTTATCAAGTTCCCCCATACGCCCAAATAGATCAACCATTATTGCATAATGATTTAATTCAGGTGTTAGTTGATACTCATTCACCATGATATTGAAGACTTCCATACCTTCTTTAACCAACCCTGCATGGCTGCATGCAGATAAAACTGAAACGAATGTCACGTTGTTTGGTTTGATTCTTGAAATCTTGACCATGGAATTGAATAAGTCAAGAGCTTCCCTCCCCTTCCCATGAATTCCATAACCTGCAATCATTGTGCTCCAAATCACAACATCTTTATCATCTATAGCTTTGAATACTTTAATGGCGTTATTCAAACTACCACATTTAGAGTAAGATTCAATGAGTGAAGCTCCAACAAAGGAATGATGTTCAAAGCCATGTTTGATGACATATCCATGAAGGCACATACCCTGTTGAAGAACTCCTGATTCTGAACAAGATGTGAGGATTTTCACCATAAGAATAGCATCTGGTTGGATTTTGATAGACAACATGTTAACAAAAATCTCCATTGACTTATATGAAAGTCCATTTTGGACGCATCCATTTAACAAAGCTATCCAAGAAACTACATCTTTCTTAGGCATCCTTTCAAAGAGTTCCATGGCTTCATCAGGGGAAGAACAGAACATGTACATGTCAATTAGAGCTGTAGAAACAAACACATCTAACTCAAACCCTTTTCTTACAGCAACTTCATGGATCTTCTTTCCTTCTTCTAAGTTACACATGGCTTCACATGCTTGAAGAGCACTTATAACAGATACCAGATTGGGTTCAACCCTTTTACACATCATTTCATTGAAAAGATTTAATGCGTCATCAGCAGCTTTGTTATGAGCATAACAAGAAACCATAGAAGCCCAAGAAATGGCATCTCTTTCCTCCATATTCCTAAATAAAGTAGCTGCAGAAACTACAGAACCAGATTTTGAGTAAACATTTAGTAAAGCATTACAAACTGAAAGAACATTTTCAAACCCCTTCTTAATCACAAATCCATGAACACAGCTTGCAGCCATAAGGTCTGGTAACTGTGCATAGGCAGAAAGAACACTAACAAGTGTTACTGAGTCAGGAATTACATGCCCCTCCATTAACATTCGTGAAAAGAAGCCTAGTGCCAAATATGAGTCGCCATTCTGCTGGTATCCAGTAATAATGTGAGTCCACATAACAGTATCTGGATCTGGATATTCCTTGAAAACTCTTAAAACTTCATCCAAACGTCCACTTTTTGTATACATGTCAATCAGAGCAGACCCCACAAATAAATCTGAATCCATCTCATAGTTCTTTTTAACAAACCCATGAAGCGTTCTTCCATACCTGAGCTCTAACAATCCAGAACACGCCTTTAAAGCAATTGATATGGTAGCCTGGTCAGGTATTTCAACAGACAACATATCACGAAAGAGCTGAAGAGTTTCTACATATGACTTCTTCATACAGTAACATTTCAGGAGGGAATTCCATATATACACAGTTGGTTGAAGCGTTTCATCAAACAGCTTGCGTGTGGCTTCAAGCGATGAGTATTTGATATAGCAGTTACTCAACTTGGCGGCAATAAAACTATCTTGAACAAACCCAGTCTTGATGGCGAGAGAATGCAATTGTATGGCTGAACTATAACTGCCACATAATCTAAAAAGATCAAGAACAAGTTCCCTCGTTTTCATGCGAACAAGTTGAAATTCCAAAAATTAGTACCTTGATCGGATACAATCGATTAAGTTTTAGTTGCTTACATAGGTCGTTAAAATATAAAACCAGTGTACAGACCTAAATGCCCTTGAAGCTGACTGATATCTGAACACTTTTTTTCATTTCGGTTTCTATTTTTGTGTTCCGAAAAATTGAAAATCTCCCGTTTCATAGTAGTTTCACGGTGCTATTTTGGATTCTTCGTTTGCTGTGAAACAATATATGCCCAGTGATATCAATCAGAGACGGCGATTAATTCTCAGGCCAATCTTACTCGACTTAGAAGCTTACTGCATCCGAAGCAAGCAATTAAAATTCAGAAATCCTTACAGGCAAAGATGAAACGATCTAACTACAACAATATGTACAACGGATCATGATATCAATGTCCTAGATGTAGTCGTCAATACAAAAAGGCTTGGCGGCAACAACCGTTTGCCTTCTCATCTCATTTGTTGTAAGGTAGTAACTAAGATGTTTTCTCAGTTGATGATTATATAATCTATAAGAACAAAGGTTTGGAGAGAAGAGAATGGGGTGTAAATTTTCTTGGCAAAATGACATAAAAACCATTTTTAAGTTTTGTTTATAGTTGGAATTTTTTATTGTCAAGCAACGAGACTTTAATCTTTGATTATTTGGGAAAGGGACGTCTTTGTCAAGTCGTGGACTGTAAGCCTTTTGTAACATAACACATAATTAAATGATAAGTAAAGTGAGATTTGCTAGATTTTGCGAAAAAGAAAGGGGAAATAGCTGATGCTTTTTTTGTCTTTTTTTGTCGGGAGAATGGCAACTTTATCAACAAATTCAAGCTTCAAAGGGCCTTCTTGGTACATGAAGAAGAAGATGTAGATGTGGTGACATTTGTCCATTTCAGTCTCAAGAACGGGTGGTGTGCGATTAAAATCTCCCGTAAATTACCCAATAAATTTTGATTTTGAACATTAGACACTGTGTATATGTAAATTATCCAATAAATTTTGATTTTCAACGTTAGATACTGTGTAAATTATCCAATAAATTTTGATTTTGAACGTTAGACACTGTGTATCAGTCATATCATGGAGTTTAGGTTATTATAAGTTCTTATAGGTGTGCGATTAAAATCCCCCAAGAATTTGGGATAACCCAAGTGAAGGTTTTGGGGTTGTCCGAATTTTATGGTAAATATTTTTTTAAGACATTTCAGTGAATTAGGCTTACTTTCTTTCTAGGATCACGGTCAAAATTGTGAATATTTCAAATTGGTTCATCCATCAAGTCCAACTATTGAAGGAGAATATGGAAAAAATCAAAATAAAAAAAATTATAAATAAATATATAAATAAATAAATTTAACCAAAACAGAAGCCCAAATGTTTCATTGTTACAAAAACTCACAACAGAATCCCAAAATCCCAAGTCAAGAGGTTGAAAAAGTTTTAAGAAATATAATGAAAAAGTTTTGTTATTTAAGTTTGCATGGTAAAGTAGTTTGTTTGAATTGAATGAAATGGTATTGTAGTTTCTTTATTTAATTTGGAATAGTAATGTACTTTCTTTATTAAGTGTGGAACAATAATTGATACAACCCAACAGTTACCAGACCACGAAGCAACCCAAATACCACAAGCTCAGACTTGAACCAGACCCAAACGAATCATCAAAAGACAGGCAAGATTCCTTGAATAAGCATGTGACTTTACCAAGTCAGAACAATTAGCATTGAATACTTCTAATTCTCTTGTTTTTGCATATATTCCTAAATAATTGGGTTCCACTTCCAAAAGTAACCCACGTTGACAGTTAGCTACATTTTTCATTCCTTTAGCTAGTATTTAAGTATTGTACTTTTTGGTTTACTGGATATTCAAAAAATTGCTCCAGTAGTTGTTTCATTCTTTAAGTTCTTGGAGGTTCACCACCTCGAATACGATTCCTATCATTTGGTGCTTTCATTCCCTATCTCCCCACTATGCTTCCCCGGAAAGATGCTGCAATCGACATTCCACCCAAACTAGAAACTAATGAACCTCAAGCCACCACCTAATCATCAACCACGACCACAAAAAATACAATCACACAACTTCGATGGCTCCAATCCACTTGATTGGATTTTTCAAGCAGAAACCTACTTCACTTATTACAACATACCACAAAACCAACGGATCAGCCTAGTCGTATTTTACTTCACAGGAGAACCTTTGAGCTGGTACAAGTATCTTGTGACATCCTCATTTTCACGACCAGAAAAGACCGATTTTTTTTATGCTTTATAAAAATCAGAGTATCTCTTTCAATAAAAGTGTTGCGGAATTTGTTCCTAGAAAAACATGATAAGTTCATTATCAGAGCATTTCCGAAGAAATTTATTTTTATTCATTTTAAAACATTTGGGATGTCATTGTCAATACAGAAACATAAGCATAAACAGAACTTACATTCATTTACACTAGTGATTTATATCTCCTTAATCTCTCAGTGTAATGTAACTTCACATCGTCATCTGTGATACACGTAAACTGAGTGGGTCAGGTTACATAGGGTTTTCAACCCACAATAATATAATTATTATGTTTAATCATCAAACAATTAACCCAATTACCCATCCCCATTATCTTCTTTATTCCCAAGTACCTTCCCTAAAGATTTATCCTAAGGGTCGTCTCCTACATCATATTTACCTCTCATCTCCTTACATCACATTTCCTTATATGTTTGTTCCCAAGGACTCCCCCTAAGGATCATCGCCTACATCGCGTAGACATTATTGATTCAAGGATTACTCCCTCAATACGTGTCCAACAAGGGTTAGGGTATCATCGCATGAATACGTAGTTACAACATCGTCTGAACTCGTAATTCATAGTAAGGGGTCAGAGTAACATCGCATGAATACGTAGTTACAACATCGCCTGAACTCGTAATTCATCACCTATAGGTTATGAGTCTGCTAGTGTTTCCACGGGGTTGTCTATAATAGTCTGTGGTCGCCATCTATACTCTGGTAGATGACTACATTTCCAAATTGTCGGACGAGGTTATAGTATCTTCCATCCTACATCATCGATTCATCATCACCTATCTATCCTCACCTAATTATCATCACCTATCTCTCATCATTTTATTTCATCACACAACAACCATTTCATCTACCCATGTTTTATCCCAACATATTTGTAGATATAAAATAAATATATAGTTTAAATCATTTAAAACATGTATAAAATCATTCATCCAGCATAGACAGCAAGTATTCAGATAATATGCATACATGGCACGTAATTTATATAAAATACTTCATATCTATGTGTAAGATGAAAGTAACTATGCATTCATTTGTTAAAGTGATGATTCCAAACTCGGACAGCGCTTCCCTTCTTAACAATATAATTTCCTTCAACGAAACCTAGTATTATTACCACTAGATTTTAGTCTAATATTTACCATGACTAATTATTAGTCTTAGCATTATTATTATTATTATTATTATTATTATTATTATTATTATATCCTAATAACATTATTATCTTTAAATAAAAGCTATATTAGAAATAGTGTAGGCGTAGCTCACTTACAGCGGGTTTTTATTAAAATACCGGGCTTCGCTGGAGCAGCGTTTCCGAGCCGAAAGCTTTTCTTCTCGGAGCCGTCGGGCGCTCCAGGGCTTCCTTCTCGTGCTAGGGAGGTTCCCTAGACTTGGGAGGGGTTTAAGGAGGCTAGAGAGAAATATATGTTATGGTGTGAAGAAAATATGAATGATTCATCCTTTATTTATAGGAATTTTATCGTAGAGTAGTCTCTAAGCTTCTTCTGTATCTTCCGCGTACGAGCTCATTTTTCTACGTTATTTATATCCACGCGTTGGTATGTACGAGTACTACAACTTTCATTTAGACCATGTCGGCTAATTCTCATTGTATCTTAGATTTACAAAACTATATTCGAATTCGCCGCACTCGAAAAGTAAAGACTAAGCTTCGTCCATATATTTTGCATACGAGCTTCGTTTTCGACGTTATTTATATCCACGTGTTGGTATTTACGATTACTACAACTTTCATTTAGACACCATTGGCTAATTCTCATTCTATATTGAAATTACAAAATTGTATTGAATTCGCCGCGCATGAAGATTGGAGACTAAGCTTCGTCCATATCTTTTGCATACGAGCTCCGTTTTGTTCTGTCTTTTTATCGTTTAACTCCTATTAACGATATCTTCATTTCTCGTTTAGATTATTTTGGCTGAAAATCGACCGATCTAAAATTCGAATTTCGGGTTGTGCACTGCTATGCTAAATCTTAGAAAAATCATAACTTCCTCATACGAAGTCAAATTTGAACGTTCTTTTTATGCACGCTCTCAGATTAACATATACTACGCCTTTCATCTAGATCGTTAAGGCTAGAAAGTATTTTGTCGTAAATTCATTTTTTAGGATTCCCAGTGTTGCGCCGGTTTTGCCGTAAAACTTCGACGGGTCATAACTTCTTCATTATAACTTAGATTTTGGCGTTCTTTATATGTACAGAACCTTTGTGACATATACTATAACTTGGTTAAGATTATGTATTCTAAATAATATTCTATCAAAAAGTCATTTTTGACACCCATTGTCTCTAAAGTGACTAGCCCGGATCTACGGGCGTTCCATATCTTCACAACAACAATCTTTTAGGCACATGGCTAGAATTTACAAGAGTTATTGAAATCCGTTTCAGACCCTCTATATATGATAACCATCAAGATACCATCTTCAAGTTGCACCAAGTCTCCATTGTAGCTGCTTACCAAGCAGAATTCGAAAAAATTTGCAACCACATCGTCAGCCTTCTCGTTGCTCCCTCTACCCTCCAAAACTGTTTTATCTTACTATTACGTTCTGATATCCAGTATGATATTGCAATACACCACCCAAAAACTCTTCAATAAACATATGGATTAGCTAAACTCATTGAAGAGAAGTTAGCCTCCACTCGAAGTCGATAC